GGCGAGTGTTCCAAGGCGTCGGTGATTTCCATCAGTGGGCGGGAGCTGGGGACCTTCTGGAATCAGTTAAGACTTCGCTAAGCCTGGGAGATCACTTGAGTACAGTACTTAAGTTTCTGACTGCTCGAGTGGTATGCGATTGTTAAAGGGAAAACAGAATAAATGATCATTTAAGCTAACTAGTAAAGATGTTAAAGCATTAACGGCACACACATATTTTCTGAACCGTGTAACCTTGTAAATACATACAAGTTATTTACCACATTGCCACTTGCCCACCACCTCCCGGATCCTTTGGGGGAATGATTGAGTAGCACCNCCCGCCCCAGGGATCGGCTACGCCATCTGCATCATTGCCTTTTACATCGCCTCCTACTACAACACCATCATGGCCTGGGCGCTCTACTACCTCATCTCCTCGCTCACCGACCAGCTGCCCTGGACCAGCTGCAAGAACTCCTGGAACACTGGCAACTGCACCAACTACTTCTCAGGGGACAACATCACCTGGACACTCCACTCCACGTCCCCTGCAGAGGAATTTTACACGTAAGTGCCTGTAAGTGAGGGGGTGGTCTGTTGAGGGCAGGCCACACCCCTGGGGTTTGGCCCAGGCCAGATCTGGAGTTGGGGGACTCTACCTTGAGAGCTCCATGACCTGGCCCTCTGTGCCGTCCGGTCCTTTCCGATGCGCCATGCTAGGCGGCTCCAACGTGCCCAGGATGATCCCCACCTTCACGATCCAAAATTACTCCCCTGCTTCACAACCACCCTTCTTCTGAGGCCCTCCTCTCAGCTGGTGTCATGGGAGCCAAGCCTCTGACCATTTCACAGTTTGAAACTATTCACATAGTTCCTGGTTTCATGTGCTCACTTCGTAGGTGGGATCTACACTTTGGAAGAAGATGCCTGGAGTAGGGAGTATTCTTTAATGCTGGGATTTCAGGCAATGGCAGCCCAGAGAGAGTACTTATTTGGGGTGGGGAAGGGGCCCACTGCCCACACATACGAATCCCCATGTGCCCTAAAGCCAGTCATGCTGGTCATGTTTCCTGGTTGGTCAGGTCTGAGCCAGGAAAGGAGAGCCCTGGAAGGCTGCCTGCGGGCTGGTCGGCTGAGTGTGCTGGTCTCTCCTTCAGGGTGGGCAGAGCCAACCTCAGCTCTTGTTGAGACTTACTGACCACTCTGTGCTTGCAGCTCTGTGTCCATTCCTTCCCTTGGCACCTCCTCCAGGTATCACCGGCTGTGTGCTCAGGTCACTGTTCAGACCATCTCACGGGCCTTCCTTTCTTTTTCACTCCAGGCGCCATGTCCTGCAGATCCACCGGTCTAAGGGACTCCAGGACCTGGGGGGCATCAGCTGGCAGCTTGTCCTCTGCATCATGCTGATCTTCACTGTTATCTACTTTAGCATCTGGAAAGGAGTCAAAACATCTGGCAAGGTAAGGAGGGATCTGACTGCTGATCCAGGCCTGCCCAGGGGCCCTAGAGGGTCTCAGACTCAGAAGTCAGTAGCCCAGACAGCCACAGACCTGGGGTCATTGTTTCCTTCTACACCAGATGATCTCAATCTCTCTCCACCAAATCTGTTAGAAAGTTTGAGAAATGGGCCAATCCCAAGAACCATTACATTTTTAAAAAATTCCTTTAACCCACTGGTAGTGTCATAATTAATAATAGTGGCAATAATTTATTGAAAATCCCTCATGGACCATGTTCAGTGGCTGCTTGACTATTCCTGCTAGATACGTTCCCCGCTTGACGGGTGGGGAGGGGTGTAGAGGTAGTTAGTACCAGCAAGCAGTGACTCAGATCCCTGTCGGATTCTAAAGGCTGTGATCTTTCTGCCACGCCACCCTGCCTCCTGAAATTACAGAGAAGAGAGGTAGATGTCCTTTCTTGGAGGTTTTCAAGAATAAAAGACACCAACATCCACGTGATGATCACCTGTGTTCCCTCCCTCACAGGTGGTATGGGTGACAGCCACCTTCCCTTATGTCATCCTTTTGATCCTGCTGGTGAGGGGGGCCACCCTCCCTGGAGCCTGGAGGGGTGTTCTTTTCTACTTGGAACCCAGCTGGCAGAAACTCCTGGAGACAGGGGTAAGACAATGAGGAAAATCGCGTGCACCCATCTGTTATTCTACTAAGTGAAACTAGTCCTCGGAATAGGGCAGGAGCAACAACTAAAATTTGGATTCAGTAGCAAGTATGCGATGGTGCTTTGAGTCAGAAATGCAGGCATGCAAAGTACAGCTGAGGCCCCTGGATTGGTTTCTGCCATATGAGAGGAAGAGAAATTGTGTTTGTTTGCACTCGGTATGTGGCCATCCGAGGACTGAGCCTTGAGAGCTGTTTCTCTGTGTTTGCACATAGCTACGTGGAGGCAGGAGGGGGTCAGACCAGGCCCCAGCCCTCACCCTACCCCTGCTGTGTTCCAGGTGTGGGTGGATGCTGCTGCTCAGATCTTCTTCTCTCTTGGTCCTGGCTTTGGGGTCCTACTGGCTTTTGCTAGTTATAACAAATTCAACAACAACTGTTATCAGTGAGTATTGGGGGTCCCCCAAGCAAAGCTTAAAAGTGGGGTGAGTGTAAGTCAGCTGGTCTGAAGGAAGGTGATTGAACCAATGGCTGCAAACCTGGCTGGGCTCAGGCCATGCGGACACTCTGACCCTCAGGGGTGACACACGTCCCTGACCAATTCACCTGTGGCCAGAGCCTCATCTGGGTCACTCAGGGGTTGAGAGAGGCCTCTGGCCACTTCTGTTTTGTGAGTCTCTGTATATTAAAAAAATAATAATTAAGAAATTCTAAAGCAGGTTTACAAAAATTGCAACAGACACTAAATGTTTAGATTTGACTTACTGTATTTCATAACATAATTATAGTGTAATGATCTGTTTATGTATATAGGTGCAAAAAGTATAATGATTGAACTATATTTTTTTTGCTTTTTTGTTAATCTCCATCTGAGGATATTTTTTCCATCAATTTTTTTTTTTTTTTAGAGAGAGTGGAAGGGAGGGAAGGAGGGGAGAGAGAAACATAGATGTGAGAGAGACAGATCGATTGGTTGCCTCCTGCAAGTGCCCTGACCATGCTGGGGATTGAACCTGCAGCCCAGGCACCCGCCCTTGACCAGGAATCGAACCTGTGACCCTTCGGTGTGCAGGCTGACGCTCTAACCACCGAGCCACACCGGCCAGGACCAGGACAGTATTTTGAGGCCACCCCTGACCAGCTGTCCTCCCTGCTATGCGTGATCATAACGGCAGCTTGTGCTTCAAGGCTGACGCCACAGTCTGAGAGGCCGGTGCTGGGAGGAGGGAAGGGACACCAGGACAGGCTTGAAGTCCCCGTGAGCTCAGCCTGCGCACCGTTGCCACACCCTGAGACAGATGCCCCTTAGACTCCTGACTTGCAAATGTCTCAGCCCCCTTGGGTTTTCTGCTCCAGAGACGCCCTGGTGACCAGCCTGGTGAACTGCATGACCAGCTTCGTTTCAGGATTTGTCATTTTCACGGTGCTTGGCTATATGGCCGAGATGAGGAAGGAAGACGTGTCCGAGGTGGCCAAAGACGCAGGTAGGACCTTGGCTCTGTCAGGTCCCTTGATCCCATTGAATTGCTTTGCTGCTCTCTAGGTCTTCTCAATATCTAACGTTTGGATTATTTCTAAATGTTTCTTTAAAAATGTTCAAAGATTTTAAAAAGATTTAAAGCCTTGGAGATCTCCGCTGCTTCCAGGTGTTCAGGCCATGGTGGGGTGGGGCAGCCCCCGACACCCAGTGCCGGCCTGGAGTGCACCATGGGCCTCTCCCCTCTCCCCCGCTGCTCAGGCCCCAGCCTCCTCTTCATCACGTACGCGGAGGCCATCGCCAACATGCCGGCGGCCACGTTCTTCGCTATCATCTTTTTCCTGATGTTGATCACCCTGGGCTTGGATAGCACGGTGAGTGGGTGGGAGGGGATCGGGCTCTGGGGAGGAGGGAGAGGAGGGGGCACGGAGGGGGAAAGGTGGGGAAAGAGGGAGCTGTACCCACTCCCTCCCCTCCAGGCCACCCCAGGTGCTGCCCCAGCCCCCTGTTTACTCCTCAACGGCTGCACATAGAAACCCTCTAGCACCTCAGAGAGTCACTAATGAGATGACTGTGTGTGTATTTACACAAGCACAGGCTGGGGGTTCGGCATATGTGAGCTGTTATTATTGTGCACTGTCCCTTGACCAGGTGGCAGCAGCTAAAGGCCAGGCCAAGGTCACTCTGTGTCTCAGGGCCCCGCCACCAGCTTTCAGCTCCCCGCCTTGCACTTAGCATGGAACGCGTCTCGGCTTTGAGTTGGCAGTTCTGGTGCAACCAGTCTCCCCAAAAGACGTCACATAAAAAAAAGTCCTCTCCTTGTGCTGTATTTTCTTTCCTTCGTGTCCTTAGGGATGGGTTCTAAATGACAGTGTAAACAGGAAAGGATATTTCCAGGGAGGACTGGTGAGTAGAGGGAACTGGTCATGAGAGGCTTGACTGGTCACTCGGCCTTAACCCCATCCTCCTGTTCACTGTCCCAGAAGGTAACAGGTTTGTCTCAAAGCCTCCCCTGTGACCATTCGTGTGTCCCTCTCAGTTTGCAGGCTTGGAGGGGGTGATCACAGCCTTGCTGGACGAGTTTCCGCACATCTGGTCCAAGCGGAGGGAGTGGTTAGTGCTCGGTGTGGTCGTTGCCAGCTTCTTCGGGTCCCTGGTCACACTGACTTTTGTGAGTATCACGGCCCTGGGCTTCGAGTCAGTCTCTCTGAGGTCCACAGAACCCTACAAGGAGCCCTTCCTTTCCTCCCATCCCCTACAGTGCCCTGGCTTTGGAGCTAAAGTTTGTCATCAGGATTAAAAGAAAAGTTGTTTCTGGTGGCATCTGTCTGTAGAATCCGTGCACGGTATCTGGAGGCCCTTGGCATTTTACAGTAGATCCAATGAGATTTTGGGTTTGGCAGAATGTCTGGAGAAAGACTAAGATTTGCTTTTCCAGCTTATTTCATGGCAGTATTGCCCTGATGTCCTGACGTGCAGAACATCTGGAGGCAGGAGTGTGATGTTTGCAATGTCACCTTGTCTCCTCCAGAGGACTTGCAATGGTGAAGAAGTCAGACCCTCTCCAGGGAATTTTTTGTTTTGTTTTGTTTTTTTGGCAGCTGAAGCTAATACTGTAAAATAGGCATCAGATAGTATCCACAGGCATCCCAGGCTTGTGTCCTGACTCAGGCACATTTTGCAGATATGCATCTTCAAGCCATGACCCCAGTGCCTGTGGAGCTTCGGTAGGGTGCTGGGTCCCTGAGCAGGACCCAAGGGGTTTGCGTGTTAGGGCAGAAGGCAAAACTGCGACCCATGTGCTGGTGAGTCTGGTGTTGTGGACTCTCCCAGATTCAGTCTTTAGGGCCCTGGATTCTCCTAGGTAGAGTACACAGTGGGTGTTTGGTAAATTGAAGAAAGTTGAAAATACATCAAGGCCCTTTTGAGTCTGTCTCTTAAACCTGAGTGGGGAGAGGAAACAAGAAGGGATGCTCCATGGGGAGGGGAGCAGCCTCCAAGGGGGCGGAAGCTGACCCACCCTGACAAGGCCAGTCCAAGAGGCACCTACGTTAGGTCCAAGGTGTCCCAGAATTATCCTTAATTAAGAAGCTTCTTTTCTCCCTGTCGGAAAGAGGGGCAAAGCCTCAGAGGGCCTCTAACCGGGGTCCCGATCTCCTTCCCAGGGCGGGGCCTACGTGGTGAAGCTGCTGGAGGAGTATGCGACGGGGCCTGCGGTGCTCACCGTGGCCCTCATAGAGGCCATGGCTGTGTATTGGTTCTACGGTAAGATGCTTCCTCCCACCCGCCACATGCCTGCAGCCACCAGCGCAGAGAAGGGCTGATTTCACGACAGGGCAGGGCAGTGTGCAAGGTGTCACCACCCCCTGGTGGGTCTGTAAGATACACTCAGCTGAGTGCCTTCCTCAGAAACAGGTCATCGTCTCCTGCTCCTTCCCTTGGGAGGACTTTTTTCCCTCTGAGTTTAAATGTTTGCCCAGCGGAGACAGGCTGAAGCAGTTCCCTGCGGCTCACCCGCAGCGGATGCCTAAGATCCCCGCTGGCTCCAAGGACCGGACAGAACACAAAGAACTAGAGCGCAGTGAACGCATTTGCAGAGGGGACCTATCCTACCGTCCAATGGAGTGGCCCTGGATTTAAATTTCTCAAGCAAGCGCTCCCTCCAGAGCCCTGAGGCCGAGTAGGAGCTTATCTTCTAGGGAAGAGGCTAGAATGTTCCCATTTGGATTATCCGCCCAGGAAAACCTCCTCTGGCCAGGGATGGAATCTGATAAGGAGGAAACCACCAGAAGCACAGACAGTGAGCTGAGGAAGGTCCATTGGCAGGGGTCCCAGGAGCCCCTGGGTGGGGGTGGGGAGGGCACAGGCAATTGAAGTGAAGACAACCAGCTGCAGAGACGCCTCCCTTCATCTTTAAAACCAAGAAGAGATGAATTCATTCTGAAAATGCACTTATTTTTCCTAGTTTGTATGATGATAAAACAGCGTTAGCCTGTTTGTCGTTACGCATAATATGAAGAAGTTGCACATGAGTCCAGTTTTTTAAAAAGAAGTCCTCCCCAGCGACTCAGATGACCAAGTTCAAGTGTGGGAAGCACTGCAGACCTGCCCAAGGTCCTGCTGGGCGCTCTCCGGGAGCGAGCACAGGGCACCCTCCCGGCCCCTTCTCAGTTTCTCACCAGCCAGAGTCACTTCTCACCACCAAGCCAGTTACTTTTACAGAAGAACCTTGACCCCCATCTGGGCCATACTGTGTTTAAAAGGTTCTCTAGGAAGTTTCCTGTACATGGGCATACGGTCAAAGTCAGTCCCTGTCGAGCAGGTTCATCATTTCTATATAAAATGTAATTTTCTTTTCTACAGTAACAATAAAGTAAAATATACGCTGAGATCTTAGAAAGGCGGTGTGGGCACCAAGAGGGTCTTTAGGTCTCTCCACAGGTGTCCATCTACCTTCCCACTCTATGTAGAAAGAACGTTGCTTGCTTTGAAGTGCAATGCTGACAAGGTCCCTGCCCTTTCCCACTTTCAGACCAGCTTGGTGCCCTGCGCCCCTCCCATGAGAAATTTCAGAGCCGCTTGTCCCTCTGAGAATCGAGGGATCGGACGGACAGTCCGTGTCCTCTTGCAGTCCATCAATCTCTCTCTCTTTCGGCTGCCTGTAGGCATCACTCAGTTCTGCAGCGACGTGAAGGAGATGCTGGGCTTCAGCCCTGGATGGTTTTGGAGGATCTGCTGGGTGGCCATCAGTCCTCTCTTTCTCCTGGTGAGTTGTCATTTCCCTTTTCCTGCTGGACCTCGAGAAAGATCTACTCAAACACGTGGAAAAAAATTAATTGTATTGAAGTGAAACATATACACAGAAAAGGGTACAAATCGTAAGTGTACATCTCAATGAAATTTTATATAGTGAGCACACTTTTGTAGCCAAAACCATACCAAGGAACAAGAAGATGACCGGAAGCCCCTCTGTGCCCCCC